GTGCAGCGATTTATATCCGCGACAAAACCAGATCGAGGCCTTCTTGCGCCGAAGGATCTAACATAGTTTTACATTGATCGATATATTTACGAGAGCGTTGCGTGTAACAGGCAATTGCCAAGTCTATCTAAAAAATAAGTGTTCCGTGATTACTCTGATTAGAATAAGTTTTTTCTCTTACTCGTTAACATTTAGCGATGATAAAATAATTTTATTTTTTATTCGTCGGTGTGACGCATAACCACTACGCTTGTGACAGTCGAGATAAATAAATAATGTATATACGGTCAAAAATAGTGAATTTTTGCTGAAGTCGTCATGAATATTTTGTACAACTTTTATTGCAGCTTTACGTAGACAACACAAAATATCAAAAAATTTCTTCCAAATTGGAAAATTGTTGGATAAATATTTAGAATAAAGAAAAAAAAAATATTCTTAACATTTTACTACTTCATGTAGTATTCTGGGAGAAAAAATGAATAACTCCTGAAAATATATAACATGTATTTTTTTTAATTTTTTATTTTATTTAATTTGTAAATAATATTAAATATATATTTCACTATTTTTGTACCGTGAATATCATATTTATTCATAGTCGAACGAAAAATGGTCCTACCACTAACTTCTCAAGCTTTACAGTTTATCGCGGGATTATTTATTGTTCCTACGTTGAAATTGTGTAAAACTCTCGTCGTTCTCGAACATCCACGTTACTCGCGACTAAACTATTCTTCACAACAAGTATTCGATAATAACTTCAAACTGGTAAATGAGCTTCTTAAACTTGTTAATAAAATTAAATTTCAAGCTTACACGTGAGTTTAATGAAATTAATTCTGTTAATGAAAAATAAACCAAAGTACATACTTATATTATATTATATTCGATAATCACATTTTCCGTTCCTTGAGTGAGCCGTGGATGAACAGGAATTCTACAAACGAGAATTAAAATTAAGCTACGCGATTCTAAATCGACCTTTCTCGATACGCCCTTAAATATTCACTAAATACAGTATGTATACAGGTATAATACTTGAACATTGATTGCATTGGCAGGACATTGCACGAGTGCGCTCACTGCAGCCACGAAAACCCGTACCTTATAAGTAGGTACTTGCATTCGTCCTTTCAATAAATACTCGTATATTGTAAAACAATGAAACTGTATCTCATGTGAATAAATATCTATCTGTGTAACATTTCCGCTCTATAATTTTATAAATATTTAGTCTCGGTGCATACAACGCCACAAAAAACAATAAACGACACATTTAAAGCTAGCGATTTGCGAAACTAATGTTATTAGTCGTATCAACCGTGCTGTTCGAACTAAAAATTGTATAATATTATAAAATATGATGTGCAACACGATATTCTATAACAACTTCTGTAACAGAAATTTTCTACCCTTCAAAAATAGTTATTAAAACAAAAAAAAATTAGAACAAAGTAGAAATATCTTTATCTTATCAAGGAGTCTATCAAGTTCCAAATTATACGAAAACGGCATTAAACTTTTTAAATCGTTACACTAAACTGAGTTTTAAATAATTATGTATGTTATAAAAAGCATAAAATCAGATTCAGAAAGGATCAATTTAGAAAGGAAAATTTCGTTTATTTACTTATTCACATAATACAATGAAAATGTAAGAAAGCATCGTAGAATTAAAGACATTCATCTTACCGTGTTGTAAAAATTGTGGCGCTGTATGCGTCGTTCACACACTCAAATCAAAATAAATATTCAATTTTCTATAAAATAAACATTTATTATTTCTTCTCGGTTAAATACATATATCTAGAAGCAATTTACGCATATACACGAAACAAACTAAAAGGATATAGTTGCCATTAAATACTCGAATAATAGAAAACGTTTCGTTCAAACGTTCTTCTATCGGAAAACAAAAATGATACATTTCCAACAAAATCAGATCATTAAATCAAGTATTCCATATCATTATCATCAATTATATACACATTCTCGCTTAATGTGTTCCGATAAAAATTCTTAGAATCAGGAATAGGCGGCGTCAACAGAACTGCAAATATTCAAATTCGAGGCAATAAACTTGCCGCGCAAAAATACAAAAACTCTGGTGACTAAAAAATTTTTGTCTTGATTAAATCTTTTAGTCGTAGCAGACAATTCACAGAGTAAAGACGTGTGCAAGAGAAGCAATGGAAATTTAATATCCGTCACCTACTCCCTACATTATCTTAAGAAATACGCGAATGTAAGAATAATTCAAAATCACGGCTAACCGGACTAGATTAAAAAATTCACAGATCCGTTTTAATCTTGTTCGTAATGTACATTCTCAAAAGTTTTAAGTGTGTTATCTGTTAAATGTGAATCTTTCAAGAATCTCTCTTTCTCAATTTTGTAGTGATTAAGAATTAAAAGAGAAAGTGATATTCAAGGGACATCTTTAACACTTTCAAATCACAAAACAATATGTATGATATCTGTAGTTTTAACAATTATGTTTATTAAGTCTTTTAGTTTAATGTTTAAATTTACATTTAAGGCATTGTGAACGAATTAATCAAAATGGACTTGGTAAATTTTGAATCCTCGATACGGTAACCATCGATTTTTACAAATGAAAATAGTAACACATGACAGCTTTGTTGCCTTAACAAATAGTCTTTGCTGACACTAACGACGAATTCTATTTACGCTCGCTAAGTAACTAACGACTTCAATCTGCGCGAAAATTGTTTTTTTACGTGCGTCCATCACGAGATTGAAAAAAAACCGAAGAGTTTTTATACAGAAACAAATCAATCAATCAGCTGCAATTATTTGAACGAATAAATGACTCAACATTAACACTATAAAAATTATAAACTTTACCCTAACCTTTTCTTTAATTTCAATTTATACCAAATATATTAATAGATCCTAGATATTATAAATTTCATCAATTTCTCAAATACCGATCGATTTTAAAAACGTGAGCAAGTCATCATCACATAGTTATCAATATCTCAGATAAAGCAATATGACTACTAGATCCAAAGATAATAGCAACTCTGCCATACAAATGTTTTTTTTTTCCTTTTTTGTCATGTTGCGACAATTTGGCCTCTAATAACTTTTCCTAAACATTTTCCAAAATTGCTCCACATCTCTAAAATATATTCCTCTATTTGTAAATAGACATCAAACTCCCTCGTTCCTTTTTCCCGTAAAAAATGGAGAAATTTTGACAACATTAAAAACTTATGTATACTACAATACATTATTAGTTCCTATGTAATTAATGTCTAATCATTTTTTCCTTGACGTTTTACATGTTACATATTCTAAAACAAGACTCAATTGAAACAAAAGAATCTAGATTTTCAATATTACTTTTTGCTGCTTCTACTTATTAAATTTTTGGAAAATATGGTAACTGAAAGTTAGTACATCTTTTTAACAATATTTTAACTCATAAGCTCTTAAGAATTTACGCGTCAAAACTAACAATTGTATAAAATTGAAATGACTGTTCATAGACCGAGTACTATAAATTTAGTACAAGAATATAATGATTTTATATAATTTTCCATAAATCATGTATGTAAAGATAATTATTTTCGATCATAAAGTAGACAAATTACGTTAGAAATAATTTTATTTGAACGGAATCAATCACTGATCGATCGATCGTATCGATCATATTCATAAATAGAAGCTACGACTAGAAAGAGCCATTCTTCGATGACTAGAAAGCACAAATGGCTCCGAAAGGGTCGGTTATGTTTTCATTGCGTGAACTTCAATTCGCGAAATAATTCACCCAGACCATCGATCTGACATTTACTTAACACGGAAATTAATTATCGAGAAAAATCTAGTATTGTACTTATTATATCCGTAGAAAAATATTTTCCAATTCTTATCGCTATTAAAATATCATTTAATTTCCTACTTGTGCTACTAACATAATGAAATTACTAATGGTATCGTTGAAATATCGATAAATTGAATTTAATTTGAGGCGTTAATATAAAAATTGTAGAATAGAGGGTAAAGTAATGGAAGCAATTTGTAAAGTTCAAAGGCAAATATCTTTCGATGAATTTTAATTATTTCTAAATAAACAAGAAAATATATATAACGAAGTATAACCAACTAAAATAATAACAAGAGTCATTAATGTGTCTCAATAAGCTTGAAAATGAGCAGTGATCCCGCCACTTCTCCTACCAGATATTTCTATACATATACTATCCCAAACGTTTAGCGTTGAACATTCCAGAACTTAATTCCAATATTAATATTTAAAAAAAAAAATCATTTTCTTGACGTCCGTGTACTCTGTTTGTTTCAGATAAATTATACAAAGTCGTCAAGAGACATTTAAAAATTACAACAACAAAAGTAACATGTCAAATATTATCTTTATCGCCTTACCTGGAGATAGAACTTTAGAATCGTCCTTTTAGCTACCGTCATACGTTTTCATCTTCTGGCGTCCTCCTAAAGATTCCTTACTAAGTTAATATACAGCAAAATTTTACTTGTGGACTTAACTGGAGTAGGCATATGCTTCCGTTCTCATTAAGGTTCAGGTCCTCTTAAATAAATTTACGTACAAAAGCGTAAGTTTGTTGACTATTGCATTGTTCTAAAAAACAAACTATCAACTCCATTACTTTTTCTGTCGTTTCATTTTCATTATACAAAATTCAATTACGGTTAATAATTTATTATCGATATCTGAACGATGCCAGAGATAGTTTATGAACTTCCAATCGGTAACCGTTAGTAATGCCTTCGATTCTTACGAGAACCAGAAGCACTCGAGTAGACGTTCTATACGCTTTCTGCAAAAAAACCCTTCGATTGATAATCATCAGAAGAGATGCAAAAAGGTGACCGTTTTTGTACGGTGTATTCTTCACCAATTTCGTTTATACGTCAAAAATTGACTATCGGACTCAGGGACACACTTGATATAAATAAACGCCGTCAAGTTCCAGCCTCGAAGCGCGTAGATATAATTGCAATTCAATTAACGATGGACGTACCTAATAACAATTTTCCACCGTATATTCCTAACACCTCGAACGGAATATAAGTAATGGTTCCTGCATATCATTACAACAACGTCCACGAAACGCACGACGTACGAAGAAGAAATTCGAAGAAACTGAAGTGCACTAATCGAGCTGTGATTGGGGACGCTTATGGACTAGTCGAGTCCTTCAGTAAACGTACCAGAGGGTTCAGCTTACCGTCATCCGAGTTCCTGTACTCCTCCAGTAGCTGTAAATCAGACGGTTGTTTTTATTTTATGCATAAAATTCGATGTTTTGCTACCTCTCACGCAGAAACGTCTGGACTTTCATTTGACAGACTAGATCGATCACACTCTTATGTTTATGATTTACTATAGAAAATGTCATTTTGCATAGAAATCCGCAGTCTATAAACTGAACGCATATGTTTTCGACAATTTATGACTTCAGAAACGAATGAAACGGGTGTCTGGTCACATACGATTTTTTCCACTGCGGTAGTCAACGTGTTAATGATATGAGAAATGTTTCAAATACACTTTAAATGGTTTAAAAAAAAACAGTGTTAAAGATATTAAAATTGAATCTCCGAAATCCAATTATATTTTATATGTATTTTGCAATACATAATTAATTTATGGAATGATCCACTTTTCTAATGAATGAATGTAGAATGATATCGTTAATTTTCTTAAAAAAAAAAAAAAGAATGGTATGTTAAAAAAAGAATGTATCACTGATTGTTATAGCACATATTTACCTGATAAGACATTTCACAAGACAGTATTGCCGTGGCCTCTGGATTTTCATGCGTGGCCGCCAAAAGGGTTGGGAAAATGTACGACGTTAATCCTGGTGCTCCGTAAAATGGAAACGGCAAAGTACACAGTTGCTGAAGAACACTTGGGCCGGCCCCAGCCGATTGTAACGTCAACTGGAATTAATTAAAACCTGCGTTTAACCATGTGATCAATAGGCCACAGTCGTTGGGTCGTCGATTTTAAGAAAACTTTTTCTGACGAAACAGCAAAAATGAGCCGACACGTATTTCAATGAACAACATTTATAAAGTCTATTTAATCTTACTTTGTCAAATAAAATTCGTATAATGTGCAATATAATATCAAGTGTCAGTAATATAACGGCATTTAAAAAAAATTACACTAATTATTACAAACGACATCCGTGAGGACTAAACCGTTCGTCCTAAGATTTGCTTTCCATTGCAAAGTACCCACATGACAAAACTAGAAGACACTGACGATGGTCGGACAACGAAGGCAGTTACTTACAAGTGGGTTGCACATCGTTAATTTTTTTTTAAATATCGTGGGAAACGGTGCACCTATAACACAGGTGTCAGAAACTGGCTAGTTGAGAGACACGCGAACACGTCCTAGGACACCTGCAATTCAACAAGTGCCCGGGAGCAGGCTTATGCACCTGTAGAAATACGTCTTGCAGGAAGTACCCACATTCTACACTTTTATTTCTTCACTTACTACTACAACTACCACCATCACCATTATGAAGTGATCAGAATAATGCAATTTGTGACTACTTAAATAATGAAACTATTCCTTGAGTATTTTCGTGTAGTTATGTGCATACTATTTTCAGTACTTAAACAGGTAAAACAGATTACAATTTTCCTGATGTCGAAGTGAAATTCTTGCACCATGGCCATTAATATCTACAAACTTGATAAACCTTCTGCATTAATATAGAGATACTTAATACTAAAACTGCAGAAGATAGACGTACATATAGATGTCTATTTTTATCGGATTGATAAATATGACTACTACATTAATGTATTTGAAAAATAATGGTGAACATATAAATAATTTCCGAGTTTTAAACAGCACGCTGTAAAAATAAATTATGTGGTACTTCATCGGAAACCATTTTCCTTAGTGTATCATTTTGGGCGTTATTTTAAGATCGTTTTTACGCCACATAAAACCGCCCGTTGGATTTACGGTGATCACAAATCCCTTGTATTTTTATCGTATTTAAAACGTTCCTGTGCTGATTAACCATTTCACTGACGTATACGAAAAATCGTAAAATTTTCACGCGATCAACGAATACACTATTATTTACGCAAAAATAATTTAAGAAAACTTCTACATATAATTTCTCAACCTGGAATACTAAATCTTTTTTAGTAGTGATGACACGAAAATAAGAGCAATAAAAATATTCATAACTATTTCTTTACTTATAGTTCACTGACCAGAGTTGGACATTGTTCGAATGAAATTTTTTCGAATAGAACATCGACTATATTTCTCGAACAATATTTTATTCGAATATAATCTTCGAAAATAATTATTTCTCCTCGAATAAAATTTATCCTACCCTGTCGCTGATGAACGTCGCACCGTGGATAACTTCAGGAGAAACGACACATTTTTCCACGTTCCTCGGTATCCTTGAGAAGAGAACTAAAAGTAAAAGAGAAGGCCCACGAGCAGAACAATTAGGCTGGACGGAAGACAGTGGCTGGTTGTATCAAGGGTCGTTCTATACCGTGTCTAATCTCGGCCCGCCATTCCTCCTTAATATCCTCCAGCATAGATTGAATGCCACGGTAATTTCCAAGGGCTCGATATCTCGAAAAATGGGACATGATAGTCGCAGAGAAAGAAAAGACACGTCGGTGTGGCGGTCCTATAGGCGCCAGACCGTCGGATATTTTCACGTGGCAGCCTGCCCTTCTCGGTGAACCGGGGAGAAACGCATCTGCCTTGCTATCTCCGCGTGAATATATGTATACTATATTACAGGTACTAATAATTAGTTATATTTCTCCGATGCTACTTTTGCAAACAAAATATCGATGCCTTCGTACAACAGATTAAGCGTCGAGTGGAACAGTACACGTGACCAATGTTTGCGCTCGCGAAAAACCTCATCTATATGCAAAGTCTGAAATCGATGACAGGGGTTCGGTGAATACAATTAAAGAACAACAACTTCTGTTTTAAAAACACAATGGTACGATAAAGTTTATAAAATTTTCTGTCCATCCGAAAACTCCCTCGCTTTACCCTGTATAATGTAATCATGAAAATAAGAATGTGATTTAATTATTCAGCTCAGAATAAATTGAGAATTCAGCACATCTTTATAAGCGTAACTTTTTTTTTGTAACAACGTGACTCTTTACAATATCGTCATTGCATTAACTGGGACAAGCTGGGCATTGTATGGCATATTTAAATAATGATTAATGTAATAGATCAAAGAATATATTATGTTTATAACAGCAATGTACGAGCAAACGGTACGATTTTCGACTTAAAAATAAAAGTATTAATTCAGAAACACCCTCAGGTGACTGAACTGTCGCTGAATCTCACTGTCGTTTAAATAATTAAAGGAATACGAAACTGTTCCAAACAGTCTTGAAAGTTACATACGCCTGTTTGTCGTCTGTCCGTAAAACTCGACGATAAAACGAGTGAAGTAACTGAAATAGGCGGGAATAAATTGCACCGACTGCAAGAATATTCGTGAGGAATTTGGTGAGAAACGATTAGTCGTTGCGCTGTCCTGAGTAACAGTCCAAGCAGCCTGAACATTTAATGAAACGCTGGAGTTTCAACCACACTTTCAGAATACTCTGTAGACAGTTTAGTGAAAATGTTTGAACGGTTACGGAGAAGCAACTAGTTTTGCTAAATTTTTTTACCACTGACAATGTTTAACGTACCTTTTTGCGATAACTTACTTAGCAACTAAATTTATTAACATTTTACATAGTATGCAACATAACTCGTACACGGTCTGTCCCAAAAGTTTCAAACTGAAATTAAACCAGCAGTTTTCCGTAAACTGATGATGCTGTTTATCATCAAATAATAGACACCTGGATCCAGAAAGACTCATATTCTTCAGACCTGTCATGGAACCAATTTCTTAAGAATATACTGGTCTTCTCATAAAACGCCAATACAAACAACTGTACCCTTCAGTTCCCGTAAGCTATAAGGGTGTATGAATTTTCTGAAGCGTCCAAAATACGTGCTCGTTTAAGGGTCTCCCTACTGCAACGAGTCAAAAATTAGACGAAATTCAGGAATTTTTTTAGAAAAAACTATGAGGTATATCGATGTTGAACTATTTTCTATGAATTCGTATACACTAATAGGATAAGCTTAATTTTTTTCATTTGAAAATGTTCATAAGAAAATATTTGTTTCTTTTATTTCACACATCCACAAGAGTCTATACTATGGCCACCATGGAAAGAAAATTTCCTTAAGACGCTCTCACAAACGAACCGTAACTTTTGAACAATACATTGTTTTTACTTCATAAAAATATAGCATACTTTACAAATATTATTTAGTAAATATATATATCATTCAAATTGATAAGTTCAATAGTTTTTCTTTAAAAAAAATTCCCAAAAGTTGCCTTATTATATAGTCGTCACATTAGCATAGCCCCTTAAGACCGTACCAAAGTTCCTGAAACGGGCCCGTCCATCAATCCATAAACGCGAACCGGTCGATCCACCCGGTACATACATACGAACGAAACGTGTCGTGTAGCACGCGGCGAAGAAGGAAGAAGAAACTGTTAGACACAACACACTCAGCGGACCTCCCATCAATATACGGGGCCGAATGCAGTTAAGATATATTTACTCGGTTCCATTCCATACGTCAGCCTGGGTGCACACGCACACAACGTTATAGGGGTGCATCAATCCAGGCGTTCCCGCTTCGGGATGTGTAACGCTGAGTGCACCGGCGACGTCGCACATTCGTCTTTCGTCGCCTTTTTTAAAGAGGCCCGCCGTTGCTGCCACTGGCCCCCGAAAGTGCATCCGATACAGCAACGGGGAAACTGGCGGAAAAACGCTTTTAACCTTTAACTGCCGCCGTTGATTCAACCGGTCGATTATGGGAGGTAGGCGGGCCTTGTTACACAATTTATGCGTGTTACCACAACGGTGTTTTTAACGGAGGGGGAAAACTAAGATCGGGAACTGATTTTTCGAAACATCTCGCACGACTCCACTGGATTATTCTGATGGATTTCGGAATTTATACGAAGTGCCTGGCTTCAGCCCGAGCGAAACGATTCATTCGTTGTTTAGGGATTGGTGAAATACGGAATCGCTTGAACATTGGTATCGGGTTTCTTTCTTGTGTGCCGTATTTAAGACATGGATTTGTGGAACGAAGACTGATTCGTGTGTATGCAAAATAACGTGGTTTGTTTCAACGTTGTCGGAAAGAAGTGTCACTTCGTTCGTTTCTATTTTTTTTTTCTTCATTTGATAGAGGGATTTGGTTTGTTGTTACCGTGGATTTTACGCTTTTCCGACGAAATATTGTTGACAGCTGCGACGATTGTGTTTCTACTAATAATAATTGCTTTTTTCTGTCGTTAATACTTTAATTGCCGAACTGATTTTTAGAGGTGGTAGAAAATTGAAATGGTAGAAAATTTTGAGAGAAATGTTTCTGAAGAAAACTTGAAATAATTTGAGGGGAAAAGTGCTAGAGATATAACTACCAAAGTAGTAACATTTTTTGATAATTGCGAAGAAAACTTACATCAATTAATACTCAAAAATAATTTGTACTTTCTTTTCATTGTAATCTTACCATTTAATTTTGTTAAACACGGTATTATTTTTTCGACACAATATCGCATTTAGCATGAAACTATGATGATTTTGATTTAAATATCAAACTAATGTTTTCTGCGCACTCGCACAAATCATATTCCCATTGCATTAATGTGGTACTTGCCCTCCAACGAAACCATCTAAAAGCTACGCTTACCTGATTTTCCGGGTTGTTAACTGCAAAATACCCGAGAACCTGGAACAGTTCTGACAGGATGTAAGTACCGCTAGTGTTCTGCGAGGCTCCAATTTCCGGCTTGTGCGATATTGGATCTCGTGATAATCGGGTTATCACATGACTAGCTATCAGTCGCCATTGCAAGCTGATGCCTTCAGCCCCTAAGAGATTCTGAAATCAGAAAATTTTCATCGTTATAGCGCCGGTCACGACGTCTGCTCTAGGTACGCGATTTACGTTGAAATCGGCTGCAGCCAAAGTGTCATAAATTCTTCAACACTACAACTACCAAGCTAGTTAAAATGACTGGTCAATACATTCCTACAACGACGATTAAAATGTTATAACAATACATTTTCTCAGATCTTTTGTAACTTTCATTACGACATGGCATTAAAGAAATTAGTCAATTTATAAATTAGTAAATTTTCAAAAGTTTGTCATATTTATCGATCGATCGAAAAAGATATTAATACTAGAACTACCAGCGTTCAATAAATACGAAATTAAATTCTATAATATATTGATATGTATAATATATAATACAATACAACGTAATATAGTATCATATAAAATGTATAATAAACTAAAAGTCAACATAATTTCGACAAAAGCACCCTTATGATTTCAGCGATGATAAGACAAGAAATTGGAAATTCGTCATTTTGACGAGTTTGGTGGTTCTAGTGTTAAGTAAAGAGAAATAAATATCCACTTAACATTTACAGAACTTTCCGCAGTCTAGCTACAACGTAATACAATAAAAGACGGATTTCTATAGGAACCAAGAAGCAGCTTCGTTGCAGTTAGGCCCTATTGTCAGTAAGTCAAAGAGAATGGATAATAAACGTTGGTTTTTCGGCAAACGATGGCCGCTGTGCTCGCTAGGATAATCGGAGAACCGTCCCTTGAGGCTCGGCAGGCTTTCCTGCGGGACACAGGATAGCCCTTATAGTTTTTATAGATGGGGGCGCGAGGTTTCGATTCAATTCGTGGTCTGATCATTGCAGACTTCACAGGAGGGCTTTTTGACAGGCAAGCCCCTAGGGCACGCGATGTCTCTATTGCACTTTCTACGGTGCTCGATCTAATGACAGGGACCATTGGTGGTTGCTCTCAGTACAACTGTTTTTTCATCCTCGGTAGTTTTAGTGTTAATACACAGGATGTAACAAAAACGTTGGAGGACCCGGAAATGGAAGACAAGTGAGGTGATTTGAAACAAGTTTTTCTTTAATACAACTGTTATGGGAGGCTTTGTTAACGAGATAATAATGAAAAACCACGCGCTGCGATTGGTAACCAATGTTACCGTGGTAACTCGACTGGCAGACTCTGATTGGTCGGGGTTTTTAGTTAATATCTCGTTAACAAAGCCTCGGATAACATTTTTGCTAAGGAAAAACTTGTTTCAAATCACCTCACGATTCTTCTATATCCAGGTCCTCTAACATTTTTGTTACACCCTGTAGATGAAACAATATAGATTCTTGACTTCTACAGAAATTAGTTAATGATGTCGCCAAATGGATTTCTTATAGTACAACTAATATTAAAAATGTTACAGACTCACCTGCAGCCTTTGAAGGTTCACTTCTGCGATCGATTTGAGTAGCCTCAGACATCGAACGACCAAAATTCTCGTCGACTGGGACATCGTGGTTTGATTTGGAGTCGGCGAGAGTCCTTTCTGGTTCTGCGGGATCAATGCAACCGCGGCGTAAAGACCACCGATCGCACCTGCAGCTTCGGTCGAGGACACAGTCGAAAGTAAATGCGACTCGACGCTCGTCTGTTCTACGTTGTTGTTATTTTCATGAGCGCCGCCTGTCTCTTGGTTCGGTGACTTCTTCAAGTGACAACACATGCGAAAGAGTAGGTCGTAGGAGGATATCAACAGTGTCGATTCGTGGTCTTGATCTACGAAGAAATCGGTCTCGATCAGGGCACGACTGTGACCGAGGACACGGTCCACTAAACCACCTGCCACTAAATATCTGTAACACGAAAAAAAACGTTGGAGTTAATGAAAGAAGAGAATAAAATTCATTCTTCGATTGTAGTTATTATTTATTTATTGACTACGCTCGAGTAGAATACGGATTTTACGCACGATTGTTTAGATTGTTAGTGTAGTAGAAGTTTTAACAATGTGGTGTTTAATTAATTTGGAATATAATGAAGTCCTTAAAATAGTAAAGATATCTTTGCTTGAGTATAGTTTTTATAAGCTAAATCACAAAACTGTATGCTCGTACAAATATCCACGGTCTAGTTGAGCGACCTGAATACTACACTGCTCGCAACAATTAAATTTTAGATTTAAAATACGACGTGTGTAAAATAGGCAGTATAAAAAAAAAATACATCGAACAATTAAAGGATTCCAATTTATTGTCTACCATAAAATGATGCACGTATGTATATGGAAATAAATAATCAAATACAAACACTACTATTGGGGATTACAGCAAAAGTAAAAGCAAACCGTTATCGTTTCTAGTCTGCTGTTAATGTTCACATGCAGCACTGTAGAGTATGTGACTTACATTACAATTTTTATAATAAAATAATAGTTCTTTTTGAATGAATCGACATTTGTCGAACAATCATTTAATCTCATTGACTGTTTAAAGCTCAGAACGACACCCCTAGATACTGCTGCTTTTTACTTTGTATTACTCGAATAAAATTCTGCCCAACTCTGCTACAAACCATCCCCAAAGGGCAACAACCTCACACCCCTACCCTCCAAACCTCCCATCAAAGGGCTCTAAAACAATGCCCATCGCCCAACTGTCACCTTCGGTCAGCACTCGACGGTACCCGTTCGAATTCCGTTGCAAACACGCGTCACTCCCAACCAACGTCAATTGCTTGTCAATTCTTTCTGTCCCCCGAAGGAACAAAGACTCGACTCGCGTCCTAGTCGGTGCACGACGGACAGATACACGCGCAGCGGGTATCTCGTCCGCGGTGGCAGAGAAGTGTGCATATGGGTACCGATAGATCCCTGGCGTCATAAATGGGCGAGGGGGGATGCAACGTGGTGTATATAAAAAAAAAAAACAATGTATTGCTTACAGAACAGCATGTGCGACGGCGTAACACGAGAGGATTATAACATCAGTGGGTAATTCACAGGGCGCGCGCGCGCGCGTACGGCCCAGTAGAAGAGGGAACAAGCGTCGGCGCATGCGATGCTCATTCTGTTCAGGGGGGGGATTGTGTTGTATATGTTTTTCTTCTCTGCTACGGCCACCCTTCCTTTTTCACTCCCCCCTTTTTGGCGACCGACGCGGCCCCCGGTTCCGAGGGGTGCGCGGCTGTCAGTGCGTATTATCGCCGCCCCTACCAGCCGAAACACTGACATGGCCGGGGCTACACTCGGCTGCCACCGATGAGTATTGGAATATGGAGTAGTTCGGTGGAGGGCCAACTGTCTCCTCTAATCATAACTAGCTGGAAGCTAATCCAACGCCACTGAACCCGACACGCACACTCCTGTGGACGGCGGGGCAGGGGAGGCTGGCTGCAGAGAACCTTTCGGGCGATCAACCCTTACCGGACATGATAATAGGACGGTCCAGGGTACCGTGACCCCCGGATTGATACGTCGCGAGACCGGGACAAGCTATTAATTACGAGCGATTGAAGGTACGTCTGTTTAAAACTGGGTGCTCAATGAGCCGGCTGTAAATGCGGATGGTGACTTTTCACGGGTGTGATGCGAGCTGTTTTAGTGGTAAGAATTCGAAATACTTGGGGTTTTAATGCTTCTGACTATTTCTATGGTGTAGTCAGGAACTTTTACCGAAACGTAAAATACCGGTGTTATACCGGTATTTTCGGTTGTACCTTCGCCCTATATAAGCCCTACCTTTATAGGTTAGGGGTTGTTATAGCAAGACCGTGGGCAAATCCGGGTAAATTTAATTTGGTCATATTATTTAATTTAACAGATAAAAGAACTGACTGCGAATAAAAAAAAAAAATTCGTACTAAATATCATTTGGGACGACCTCTGAGTCCAGTAGTCATAATATCCGAGCTTAACGAAAACACGAGGCTGCAAGGAATACTGATTCGCCGCGTCGTTGCATAATTCATCGATACGTATAAAGGCAAAGACGCTTAAGCTCTGTCACGTCGATGATGGAGGCGACGTGTACAATGGTCGGACACGAACAGGCGATAATACCGATACTATTCCGAGGGATTGAGTAAATACGCTAATAAAATGCAACGGGATGCGCGGCTGGATTAGAATTGCTTCGAGTCGTAGGTACACTTCTCCGCCTATAATAACATGAGTGATAGCCGAATAGGGGGGAACGCGGCCGTGTCCTTCATGGATGTAATAATTCTGATCGGTGGAGTTGATCCGCCTACGATTCGATGTGCCCAGAATCCGTACAGTCAATAGAATCAACGTGTAAGTGGATCCCTTAATCCAGACACTCTGGCGAATTTTACAATGAAGCCCTAATGACTGAACAATAAAATGTTATACGATGTGGCCACAAAAGGAAATAATTTTACATGTGCGTTTTTAATTCGATTATTTTTAAGAAGATCAAAATGACTTGTTCATAAAACCCTGTAAAAATTATTATAATATTACAAAATTAAAAGAATCCTAACAGTATTATTTTAATAACTACTTTAAGATAAAAAATCCACAAAACTTAATCGATGACCTAACAAACTGTAAATTTTCAGTAAGTACCAGTTCTGTGGGACACCCTGTATATCCCATTTTCAAAACTATGTTTAACCTACTTCTTTCTCCATATTCGAGTGTACTTACGCTGTACTATTATATTATCGAGTTCAATCTCGAAAGGGTCCAATTACTACTATTTTTATCCGACAAGAAACCCATTTAAAAAAAATACCCACAATCAACAGTGCCGAAATTTCCGTATAAAAACGAGACCTCGGAGTGTCAGAACTGACCCGACACATCCCCCTAGCAAGCAGGTCGTCTCACTTGGCCGAGGGTCGACAAATTAAAATTAATTAGCACAGTCAGTTTCATCGGTCGAAGCATGCAGATCGTGCACAGCAAATGAAACTCGCCATGTGCAGGATGCGATTGTGTGCATCGTTGGTCGATGGCTACGCAGCAATTCGCAAGAAGCGGCGGAAGATCCGATCTTCATGCACGTCTGGATAGCGGATGGGGCTACGGCCCATGCATCATCGCTCCCCCTATCGGGGTAAGATTCCGATCTATCATTGAATGTTTGCGGGGGGTTCGAGCAAATACATTGAATTTATTTATTATTCTCCCTTGACCGCCTTATGGAGGCCGCAGCAGCACGAGCAATCACTACCCCAACGGCGCCATTAGCTAACCATATGATTATTTCATAGCGAGGCGGACAGGGGTGCATATCTTTAGGCTGGCTGGTTGCGCCGTATTGCAGTTGCTTCGCGCGATTTCGCGGTGCAACGCCGCGCGCGATCCAGGAGGGTAATCGGGGCAAATTAATTTACATATTCATGGAGAAATGTACTACTCGATACAATTTCCACCAATAACTGTTACGACCGGCCGGGTATACGTATTAAACGGATAAGTTTTCGGTGCGGATGAAGGGGATAATGCGATGTAGTTATGGGTTCGGGGTGACCGGTTCGTGTGTACTTGTGCACAGGGTGTGGTGGAAATGGCGGTGGTAACCGCAAATAAGCTGATTCCTTGTGGAAAAGTAAATTGTGACTGGAAATGGAAATTCTTCTGTACTTACAAGATTCTTCGGAAAGTTTGTAGCGGTTTTATGGCCTGAGTTAAATAGTTATTATTCGTATGTGTCACTTTTTTTAACTTTTTGTTTTCTGTTTGTTGTACATCGACGAAAAAGGTGTTTTCAAACGAAGAGGACATAGTTTTGTGAAATTATTTTGTGTACTTATCTGCTATCAATTAGAGTTGGCAATAAAGTATGAAAAATCTATTCCTAACTCCTGACGAAAAAAGAATGTTAATACTACATACATACATGTTTGCATTTTACAAAATTTTTAAAGTTTATGTTAGTATTATGTTTATATTTATCCTTATATTTATGTTTGTGTCTCTCTACAGGCTAAATGAAAATATCATTTAAAAGCATCTTTCCTTTTAGTTGATTCTATTCAATTTAGATACGGTGTTACAAACTAACAAATTATTGCAAACTGATTCATGATGTATAGAAATATCTCACACTAAGATTATAACACATTTATTTTCTTTACAATTTTTTTTTAGAATTTTTCAACATTGTTCCAATGACTGATTTTTTTCACCACCATGGACCCTTTCGTATAAGATCCTATTCTAGCAGTGGAAGGAACGTCTGGCACAAGTGCCATCCATCGCGTTCACAATGAACGATGTTTGCGCAACGAAATGGCGAAAGTGTGAAAACGACAGTGGAGTATCATCGAATTCGGAGAAAGGAACAGGCATGCCGAAGAATGGCCACTTAATTCCAACACTGCAATTGTTCGCAAAAGTAAATAATCATGTCTTAACACAGTGTTGTGATACTTGATTGTTTTGAGCAAAATAGAAATCGAAAAACACATTCAACTTCTTGAAGCAATTTCAGTAATTAATCCTTTTTTCCGCAGGATGAGGATATTTAACATAGATACTTGATTTGAGTGGCATCAGGGAAGAATTATTTTTAAAAATTGTCTGTTAAAGTGCCATGATTCATTTGGATGAATATTCCTACATCATATGAACACACTAATTAAACATACCTATACATTTTCTAGATTTACTATAGACTTCTACTTTTTCTATACTTTATATTTTCTATACATTTTCTCTGCAATCTGCAAAATTTAGAAGAATTGGTTACATAAGTGTGGGGTGACTTATGGACGGGAGTGTGTGTCACCGACTATTTCTCATATAAATTTGAAACGATCAACAAAACTTCAAATCACTACCTGAATGGACGGAACTACAAAACTGCTTGATAAACAAGTAAAATTA